TCCGATGATTTAAATCATTTGCAAATCATTTTTAAATCATAAAAATCGATTTAAATCATGATTTTTGCCATCCCTAACTGTACGCGCTGTGTGTTAAAAAAATCCGGATATCATATAAATGGCACATCACTAAGTGTAATTCCTGGTTGAGGCATAAAGGAAGGGACAAGAGTTAGTGTAAGAATAGTTTAAGGAAAGATTCAAAGAGGAGACCAGTACTTACCTACGGACAAGAACCCACCAGCCAAATCTAACACGCTGTAGTACGCGAGAGTTGGATTAGATTAGCAACAGACTCGCTGAATTCCAAACCGACAATATGTTTTTCAGTACGAATCACCAACTTATCCTCAAAAAAAACAGAATAGCTATGAGGTACGCGCCGACATATTGCACTTTAGACGTTTCGTTTCTAATAGGAATATGCTTGTGTCGGAGGCTCAGATCAGACATAATATATTTGATTATTGATTTTACCCTTACCTTCTAATTTCACACTTCCACATTAAGAAGAGGGAGTGCTGATAATTGAGGATCCTCTTCTTCACCAAGCTCATAATGGTCACATACTTTTCGAAAACTCCATTGCGAAAATAGTAACGTTTCTTCTAAAGATCCAGTTAATAACATTGAATCTTTTGACACAAATGACTGGAGTATGTTTTGGTACTCCAAATTATTATGTGGAATGTATTTTTAATCATTACACATAATAGTAAGCGATGCTCCATTTTTTTCATTTCCATCTACGCGTCAGGGTTCATTTTTTATGCATTTGGGTTGGTGGTTTTTATAAAATACGATTTATGCAGTATGTAGATCAACATGTGCTTTAGACACTCCTTTTATAGGGGTCGTTTAAGCCAAAACAAGTAAAACCGCCCCAAATAAGGAAATAATCACGCATATTGGCATAGCCAATCAAAATCGTAAATTCTTGTTGTGAACATATCACATAAATTTTTATAAATAAAGAAAATCGAAATTAATTAAAATTTATAGTTTAAGTTCATGATAAGTACCGCTCAGTGTTTTGTTAGGTAAGTAAATTAATTTAAATCAAGAATATTAGTTTTTTAATAGTATTTATTTACAAAATTTCGTTAATCTATCTATGTTAATTCAACGTCTAATTTTATATTTATTCCTATGTCTTATAAAATCTCTAGCATCTTACACTATACCACCCTACATTACACAGCTATTATTCTAATAAGAATCCTTTTTATTATTCTAATAAGAAACTTTTGTTATTTAATATTAACTTATTGTATCTATATTGATGATTTTAAATAGATAATATAGTTAATTACTATTATTACTATTATTTATATACTTTCAATTTTCTAAAGGATTTCTATATAACATGTATAAAAAAAAGAAATACAAACTAAATTATTCCTCCTATACTGTCGTCCTTAATCGTTATTTTAACATTTTTTTGCCTCAACAATGAAATTCTATTAACGTACAGCACAAGTTTGCTTAGTAGACATCCTCGTTTCATAGCAGAGATAAGTTACGTGAGCTTCCTAAAAAAGTATTGTAAAACGTATACGTAAAAAATTTTCTTTCTAAAAATCGCAAATTTATTGGCCCGGGCTTTTTAATAGAAGTATTGTAAAATGTATAAAAAAAATTATGTAACATCCGGGTGACTCGGATGATTATTTCCAATTTGGGATAGTATCACCTAGTGATGTGCAAATTCCGATATTTTTTTCAAATTTCATGCGCATTTCGTGCGCATGGGAATTTTTCGGAATTGCTTATGTGTTTCAGAATATTTCGTTATCTATTGAATATTTCGGCTTGGCTAAGAAATAATATATAAAAATCATGCGCATGATTCTATAATTTCATACGCATGTCATGCGCATTGCCCATCACTAGTCTCACCTGTTCTTAACATCACGATGTCTAATGCAAGTCAATTGCCCGGGTAACTTATTTATACATCTTTTGAAAACATAACGTTTCAATATAAAAAATCGCATTTCTAGCTTTAAACGAACGTCTATATTCACTGGGCAAAATAATCTCAAAATAATCTTAATCCTGACGAACTTTGCTTAGACAATCTTAGATTATACTGAAATAAAAATAAGTTGGAATGTTTTTGCTCAAGACTGCCTTATTACGCTAGTTTTTTTTTAAAAACAAAACTTTATTACTGACTATTGAATTGAATAAGATTAGGTTTACTGTAAAAGAAGTTCTGAGTTTAATACTTGAATATGTGTTTGTTTGTGTCCGTCAGCCGAAATAAGTTTTGGCTTATAGATCGTAGATTGTAATAATGAGTTTGGTTTTTAATAACGAATACCACGTTTACTCCATTTTACATGAATCTATCTATTCTCTGTATATTGAAATAAATTGATCTTTTTGTATATTTGTTTAATTTGTAACTTCGTACGAAGTTTTTTCATTTTCTAGGCGATGAATTTTTTAAAATTATATAATTTGATTGGCTAATTATCACGGGTGATAACGGGTAGATCTATAAAAATTAGCCTTCACCCGGTGTGCAACATATAAAAAAATTATTTTACAATACCAGATTATAATCATAACATGTACTAGCGGAATGATCTGGTACTGTATTGTAAAATAATTTTTTTATATGTTGCACACCGGGGTGAAGGATCAGTCGTGTAACATCGACGTTTCCTCCTATTGTCAAAATCGCCAATTTCTGTTTACACGGATCAGTCTAGCGAAGCAAAAAAAAAGAAAAATACAAGAAACGAGTGTCAAAATCCGCTTTGACGCATTATGTAAAAATATCGGAGGATAATTTTACGTATAGTACTCTTCTAATTTTAACCCATGCGTCCATAATCTAACCCTAAGTCAACGTTAGTAATAATTTCATGGTGTACTCGGCTTTAAGCGTCCTCTTTTTGGATTGTATTACCGGCACAAATAAGTAAATTCGACATGAGGGTATCCCACTCATCGAGGTAAAAAAGTCTGATCTTGTAGATCGTTACACATTTTAATTTAAAAAAAAAATTTATACGTTTCACAATACTTTTTTTCTCGTCGAAGGCCTTTAGTAGAATAATGGTGTTTAATGGAAGGTTGTACGAGATATCTAAAGTTCTAGATTAAATACATCGTTGATTATATAAATTTTGTGAATAACATTAGTAAGTTGGCTAGCAAAGATCTAAATTAATAAAAGCATGGTTTACTTATATTGCAACAACATCTGATATATTCTGGGGATTAGGATTAGGGATGTTACGGTCCGTCCTGGGCCGGTCTTGGTTCCACAGACTGGGTCCGAGTAGCGGACCACAGACCAGACCAAAATTCATAAACTGGTCCACGAACCGATCCTAGTTCGGTCCTGTCCAAGGACCGGTCTATCTGCAGCCAATAGGAATGGAGAATTTAGATTATCGTAACACATATGTGATAGAGTTTGAAACCGGTTTTATTTTCATATGTTAAACCCAGTTTTAATTGGTTTTACTATATAAAAAATAAAACCGGTTCCAAACTCTAATCTATGAACGTTTTTCATACATTCTTTCGTCAGATCACAAATGTGCAAGTCCTGTACTATACCTATAAGTAATTTTATTATATGTTTACTTAAACATTATACGCGAAAACCAAGGTTCCGATTGAAGAATTGTGCTTACAATGTTATCTAAAGTTTGTTTTGAAAACAAGTTTAATAGCATTTATTTTAGAATGTACTGTACATACGTACATACTATAAAACTTGTTTACGTGATATTAAATGGTTTTAAATTGGGATTACAAAGTTATCACCTAATTGCGATAAATAATTGATTTGACATATACATATCTGATATTAAATATGTATTGTTATCCGGCTAAGTCACGTGCCACGTGACACGGCTAACCAAATAAGGGTGACCCGGCTAGAAAAATCAGAATTGTCAGAAAGGACCGAAATGTAGGAAAAGTCCTTTCCGACGAAAAGGGTGAAGTAAGTAACGTAGTCGGTAATGAAGGGAACACTAATGTAGTCGTAATCATTATAGTCTTAAATAACGTTAATAAGGACCAAGAAAATGTACATAATAAAATATTCTTATAAATAAAGGCCGTAAAGGCCCTAAGGAGACGGGAAAAGTACTTTGCTTTATAAAAATAATAATTGATCCCTTACATATTAATAAATATATAAACGTCTCCCTTAATACATTAACTAATCACTAAGTCCCCAGAACATAAAAACCCGCTTCTTGCAATTTATCTGTTCTAACCCGTAATATTGTTACACCCCCATTCGGCTGTTGTATCCTAAAGTACCAGGATCAGCCGTGGTCACTCGAGTCCAACTATCCGAAGAAGTGTGATAGTTGAGGTTATACGTGTAGTCCAATTACCCGAAGTAGTGAGGTAATTGAGGGTTAAAGTTAGTAGACAGCTCAAGCAAGAAAAAGCAAGACAAGTAAAGAAGAAATACTTACCTACGGACCCAAACCACCGATCAAATCTAAATGCCTCTTTTCGACTAAGCCAACCGTAGGTTAGCAAGGATTTGGATTGTAGAGCGATTGACTCGCCGTAACGCCCGATTTCAGTATGTACATACATATGTACCTTTCTGCAAGTTAAAATTCTTCGCTATTACTGTTATTACACTATTGCGATATGTTTTCTGCTTCAAGGTTATGATCTTCGAAATAGAAATGCTATTGCATATATTTACAATTACATAATTATATAATCACAGAATTTATTATAGACCGACCTATTGGGACCAGTCCTAATTTACGGACCATGGACTGCTTAGACCGGTTCAAAAGACTGGTTCAGACCGTGGTCCTTGCCAGACTGTAACATTAGGGTGGCGCTTCAACTAATTAAATCAAACATTAGTTAGGGTAATATATGATGATCATTGATTTCATATTTTTTATAGGTCATATCAGTATAATTAAATATTAAATTAAATTTTTGATTACATAATATTATTACACAGTATTATTAATCAATTTTTTTGTTTTTTTGCATTGAATAACTTGTCAAATAACTCATCAGTGGGTGTTCATTCACATTCTGTTAATTCTTCTACAATTTTTCTGCCAATGGTTTTCATTTGTCTGTGTGCAGCACTTAAATCTATCTCTGAAATAGAGAATCTTTGATATTTACTGTTGACAATGTAAGTTTTGTTTTTTTTTGTTCATTGGACATATTTGAATGTCTTTTCAAATCAAATTTATTGAAAAGCCCTTCAATTTGCTGCTGATAAACTACTATATAATATATACAGTATTTGACAAACTCATATAATAAAGGGTAGTTGTGAATTGGTTCTGAAGAATTTATAAAATTTATAAATTCTTCAAAAAATGTTAGATCTTTTAGTGCCTCACATAAGCCAAAGTCTTAAAACTCTGTATCTGAATCAATATTATATCAAGTTCTTGAATATAATATTGTATTTTGGTTGCATTATAATTCCATGATATTTTAAAAATGACTTTGGCATATGTGAAAGCACATTCATGTCCATTGTCATCTTCTAGATAATTTATGCTCAATGGTAAATGTATCTACATTCGCAACCATGTTTTTAGTAAATCAAGCACTGCATTTACACCTGTAATTAATTAATCAACTAATATTTGAAATTC